AAAAGAAAAAATTAATTATAATGGGTGAAAATAAATTTTTTTCAAAATTATCACAAAATTTACTTGAAATTTTAAACGATGAAGAATATTATGATATTACAATTGAAGTTGGTAATGACCCTAATGTAAAAATATTTCGAGCTCATATGGTTATTTTAAACTATCGTTCTCCTTATTTGCGAAGAATTTTATCAACAAATAAAAAGAAGAATGATGGAATTTTAGTACATATTAAATTGCCAAATATTTCACCAGATATTTTTCAAGCAATCTTAAGGTAGGAAATAAGAATTTAATTATTATTTTATCTTATAAATACTTAAATACTTTATAATTTATAATTTCAGATATATTTATGGAGGAAGTCTTTCTATAGGAAACTATGATACTTCAGATATCATTAAAATCTTGTTTGCCGCTAATGAACTTAATCTTCAAGAATTAGTTGAAACTTTGCAGCTATCTTTGATTGAAAATAATGCAAACTGGATTGAGCAAAATTTTGATTTTATTTATCAAATGAGTTTTGAAAATAATTCTTTCTTGGAACTTCAAAAATATTGTACCGATTTAATATCCAAAGAACCGGAAAAGATATTTAACTCATCAAATTACTCTTCAATTTCAGAAAAAATTTTGATTTCTCTCATTCAAAATGACAATCTTCAAATGAGCGAGGCTCAAGTTTGGGAAAATGTTCTTAAATGGGGACATACTCAAAATCCGGAACTTTCTTCAGATCCTGCAAGTTTATCAAAGGATGATTTCAATGTATTAAAAAGTACTTTACAACATTGTATCCCTTTTATTAGATTCTATAATCTAACTTCTAAAGAAATTTCAGATACAGTGATACCTTATAGGGAAATTCTACCTGAGGAATTATATGTGGATTTATTGAAAAAATTTTTAAACTTACATCCTGAAAGCAAGCCTATTGATAAGTCGAAACCTCGTAATTTTCATAAACAAAAAAATGTTGATTCAAAAATCATCACATTTCAACATGCTGAACTAATCTCGAAATGGATTGATAAATTAGACATTACAGATAAACTGAATGCTTCATATGAATTCAAATTAATACTTCGTGGATCTCGTGATGGGTTTACACCTAGTAAATTCCATGAGATTTGTGATAAACAGTCTCGTACTGTGACAGTGATTAAAGTGAACAATAGTAACGAAATTCTGGGAGGATATAATCCGATTGAATGGAAGTCCAATAATAATTTTGGTGTTACTAAGGATAGTTTTATATTCTCTTTTGAAAATGGTGATAATATTGAAAAACATATTTTAAGTCGTGTAAAGAATGAAAGTAAAGCCATATGTAGTGCGAGTGATTGTGGTGCGTACTTTTATGACGACCTTGTTATGTGGGGATATAATTTTTATAATAGTAGTCATTGTCAAAAAAGGTCTTATGAAAAGCAAATCAGAAACACTGAAAATACATTTTCTGTAGAAGAATTTGAAGTCTTTCAAATTATAAAGTGATAATTATTTTATGTGTTTTTTTTTAATTTTACGTAATAAATAAAATGTTACCTTTTCAAATATATTACTAAAGTTATATATGAATGATTGTAAAAGAAATCTTGACGGCTGTGTAAATAAAATAATGGGTTTAAAAATTATATAATATATCGAATAAGCATGTACAGAGTACAATAGCTTATCAAAAAACGTGCAATCAAGACTACCAATCTTATAGGAATTATGTTTAAACTTAATAACCTTTTCTTTTGTTGTTTCACACAATTTTTAAGTTGAAAATTGCTAAAGCTCACCGGCGGTTATGGTCACAGTACCAGCATTAGCAATACTCTTTTAAGTTTATATTAAGGGAATAGATGCGTTAGGAACAAGTGATGGAAATGGACCATTACGCTAGTAGATGAAATCTCCCATACTAATAACTTGTAATTCATTTTGGATTTTTTATTTTTTTTAAAAAAAAAATATCGATGATTTTACAAAAGTAAATTACGTAATCGATTTACATAATCAAAGTTTGTTTGTTTTCGAAAAATGTGAATGATCTTATTCATTGATACAATTTGGTCTAAATAGTTTAAGCCAATTGTCATTTAGTATTCGACATCATCTTATCGTAAATTTATTTTATAGTCACAAGTAATGAATTTTTGCCGTATTTCTTTCTGGCTCAGTAGCCAAGCGCCCAAGCGCCCAAGCCAACGAACCTAAAGACTTGAATAAAGAATCTAAATGCATGCTCGATTAAAGTCAACATTATTTTTAATTATAACTGCTTTTTTCTGCGAAAATTAATTGATTGATTGATTTAAATAATATATTATTAGATACATTTTTAATCAAAATTAGAAGTAGATTTATGACAACTTCTCATTATGTCATCTACTATGATAACGGAGTGACGTATAAATTTGTTTTCAATCCGTGACAGATTATCTAGATTATCTACGGCTATCCGGAACGCTATAATCATAGTATAATTTGAATTTTTTTGTATTATAATTTGACTACATAATTATGATTAAGCGGTAACGTCTTACCGGTTCTTAGGAAAATGGGTACTAACGGATTTGACGACGGTCATGATGGATACGGATAATCTGTTATTCGGATAATAATCAGTTCGGAATGACCGGATCGGATAAACAGACTAGACACTAGTCAAGTGTAAAGAATATAAAATTAATTTCATGGATTTTGTGGAACGGATAAATTAATAAATAAAGCTCTTTAACAATGTATCGATTGTATCGTTCTTTTATTGACAATTACCGGGGAGAGAATTATATTAATTTCTTTTTGCCAAATATAGTAATTTAATATTGTCGACCAGAATTAATAATAAAATTGATTTGCGACAATTATAATTCTTGTTTTCCCAATTCAGAAACAAATATTTAAAGTTTACCAATCACAAGATTAGCTCTTTGTGAATTTTTTTTTTTTTTTTCATAAAAAAAAAAGAAAAAGAAAAAGAAAAAAATAATTATAATGGGTAATAATAAATTTTTATCAAAATTATCCCAAAATTTACTTGAAATCTTGAATATTATGATATTACAATTGAAGTTGGTAATGACCCTAACGTAAAAATATTTCGAGCTCATATGGTTATTTTAAATTATCGTTCTTCTTACTTGCGAAGAATTTTATCAACAAATGAAAGGAAAAATGATGGAACTTTATCACATATTAAATTACCAAATATTTTACCTGAAATTTTTCAAGCAATCTTAAGGTAAAAAGCAAGAATTAAACTGTTTTTATATTTTTATAAATACTTTATAATTTTTATAATTTATTTCAGTTATATTTACGGAGGAAGACTTTCTAGTATAGGAGAATATGATGCTTCAGATATCATTAAAATCTTATTTGCCGCCAATGAACTTAGTCTTCAAGAATTAGTTGAATATTTGCAATTATCTTTAATTGAAAATAATTCGAATTGGATGGAGCAGAATTTTAATTTTATTTACCAAACGAGTTTTGAGAATAATTCTTTCTTGGAACTTCAAAAATATTGTACCGATTTAATATCCAAGAAACCAGAAAAGATATTCGAATCACCAAATTACTCTTCAATTTCAGAAAAAATTTTGATTTCTCTCATTCAAAATGATAACCTTCAAGTTAGTGAAAGTTCAAGTTTGGAAAAATGTTCTCAAATGGGGACATGCTCAAAGTCCTGAACTTTCTTCTGATCCCGCAAATTTATCAAAGGATGATTTCAATGTATTAAAAGGTACTTTACAACATTGCATTTTTTTCATTAGATTCTATGATTTCACTTCAAAAGAAATTTCAGATGCTGTAATACCCTATAGAGAAATTCTACCTGAGGAATTATATGTGGATTTATTACAAACTTTTTTAAGTTTACATCCTAACAGCAAGCCAATTAAGAAATCTCGTAATTCTCATAAATCAAAAAATGTTGATTCAAAAATCATTACATTTCAACATGCTAATTTAATCTCAAAATGGATTGATAAATTAGATATTACAGATAATTTGAATACCTCATATGAATTTAAATTAATACTTCGTGGATCTCGTGATGGGTTTGCACCTAGTAAATTCCATGAGATTTGTGATAATCGGGTTCGCACTGTGACAGTAATTAAAGTGAAAAATAGTAACGAAATTCTTGGAGGATATAATCCGATTGAATGGAAGTCCAATAATAATTTTGGTGTTACTAAGGATAGTTTTATATTCTCTTTTGAAAATATTGATAATATTGAAAAACATATTTTAAGTCATGTAGTGGATGAAAGTAAAGCCATAACCAATGGTGCCTCTTACGGCGCATGCTTTTTCTCGGACCTTGCTATGTATGGAAAAAATTTTTATAATAGTTGTTGTAGAAAATCTTCATATGAAAAGCATATCAGAAATACTACAAATTATTTTTCTATAGAAGAATTTGAAGTCTTTCAAATTATAAAGTGATAATTATTCTTTATTTACATATCAATTAAATGCAACTTTAAATAGATTGTAACAAAAAAGAAAATAAATAAAAAAAAGTGAATTATTTGAAATATTTTATTTAAAAAATTTGATTTACTTATAACAATTTACCGGGATACGCCATATTTTATTTATCAAAATTTTTTTTAATAACGATCTTTATTTAATGGTGCAATCGTACGGTATAAAATTTAGGTTACTAGTGGAAAATGAGTTTTCAGAGTTTATTTTTTTTTTGTAATTTTTTATTAATTTTTCAAATATATTACTATAGGACCCAGAAATATATATTAAAGGGGTTAGAGTTTGAACTAAAAAAATCATGAAAATCTTTCCTTTTTTAGATAATTTTCGATAATTCCAGTCAGAATTTTATTTCCTATTATAGTAACAGACTGACATTATCATAATTCCGGCCCTGAAAAAATGCGTACAGCTCATAGTAAAAAATTTTTATCATCACCTGACCCCTATATATATATTTCTGGGTCCTATTACTATCTTGACGGTTGTATAAATGAAAAATGGGTTTAAAAATTATATTATATATTGGATAAACATGTACAGAGTACAATAGCTTATCAAAAAAAAAAACGTACGACCAAAGACTATCCACTCTTATAGATAATATGTTTAAATTTAATAACCGTTTCCTTTGTTGTTTCACTCAATTTTTCTCTTTTTAATATTAAATGTTAGGATCAAGTGTTGAAAATGAACCATTACGTCAGTAGACGAAATCTTTCATACGAAGAATTTTTTTTTAAAAAAAATATTTATGACTGAAGGTTACGTAATTGATTTAGATTGAATAGACCATTCTAATGGCTTTTTGAGTGATTTAGTTTGTTAATTATTATTTGTTTTCAATAATTTAATTTAATAAACTATTTATTTTATTTTATTTTTTTGATCATAACTTAGTTGTAAATTTAATATGTGATTTGTTTTTTCGAAAAATATGAGGCGTGATTATAATTCGATCCGTATGATACAATTCCAAATAATTTTAAGCCAATTGTCACTTATTTGATATCATCTTAATTGGTACCACGATTACATTTTTAATTACATAATACTTTAATACTATATTTAGTTAAACATTTTATTTACAGTTTACTTTATTTATTTATTTTGTCATTTAATCTTACCTATTATGTAGAACAAATAAAATACTGTTCTTTTGTTTGTAAATAATACTACCGAAAGATAAGTTATTATAAACCATACTTAATTATTAATTTTTTTTTTCGAAAATCTTAAAAAACTATTTGAAATTTTGACGAATATTATAGTGATCCTTTCACGTGGTTTATCTTAAATCGTCGATCTTAAAATAAAAGGTTATCGGTTTATAAATATTTATTTTGATTTTTTTTCTTTAGGTATATTTATGATAAGAAGTTATTTATTGAAAATCATTATGAATTAGATTACTTTCCAGTGAGATATGTCTACAAAAATTTGTTATCGATTTTTAACCTTTGACTAAAAACAAAGCAAACTATTTGATTATTTTGATTATTTACAATTTCAGGTATCTCATTAATTTAATGTCTAAAATTTCGGAGAGCCTTTATTCCGAATAAAATTTTGTTCTTTCTTGCCAAAATGACAATCTTTAAAATGAAATATAAAGTTTAGGAAAGTGTTTTTAAATGGGGATTTAAAAGTATTACGTATTTCAATTTTTCATGTAGAATTAATCAATTCTTCGCGAGTTTAAAATTTACTATATCAATATTATATCGCAACGTTTCTTGAAGAGTATTATCAAATTGACGATTTTTTTTATGAAATTACAAAGAATAGTTTAAATATTGAGAATTATATTAAGTCACGTAATAATTTAGTATGAACTCGTTAAGAGTTTATCATATAAAGAGCTAATATTATGAAAACTGATTAGAGAAACCAAAGATTAATTTTGTATGTCAGTAAATGAAATATTTCATATTATTAAAGAAATTATCTCATCAATGGAAATGTGATTATTTTCTGGTTCTTTCAAAAATAAGTTACCATTTATATAATTAAATTCTTTAACATATGAATAATTTATTCATTAATCACTCTCCAAAAAGTGAATAATTTATAATTAGATTTAAAGTTTATTCTTTAGCTAATAAACAGTTATTGTTAAATGTCTTTTTTAGACTTTTCAATAAATTCTCATGAATATAAAACAAAAATTCTTAATAGTAATGATATTTACATCCAGTTTAATATAACTCCCTAATTTTGCTTTATTATTTCATTTAGTCTTATCATTAAAGAATTTACTAAAAAGTAAAATATGACCTCAATGATGAAATTCATGTGATCGTATTCTTTTTGTGTATCTATTTAAAATCAAATATAGTACATACTACATAGCCACTTTTGTATGAATTTACTGACAATAATGGAAAAGACTTAATTGTAATAAATAATAAAGCAATTGTTATTCAATAAAAGTAACTAACAACTTTTACTTAGTAATTTATATTACAATATTTTTAATAATATAATTTTGTAATACAATTTGATAATTTTCGTACCATACAAACATGTTCAAAGCCTCTTCATAGAGTATTTCGTTCTTATTTCAGTATGTGGCTGAGTTATATACAGTATTTGATTATTTTAAATTTTTTAAGTAAATAAGTAGAAATTAAAATTATTAAAAAGCTATATTTATGGCTTATTGTGTAGTTGAACTAATTTTTGAAGAAGATAATTTCAACATTTGATTTCACATGAATAAAAAGCCTCATTTAATACTAAATAGGGCTTTTAAGTATTAGTTATTTACTAATCTAGTAGTATATAAATGGGTTATCATCCGAAGGATGATGGCCCATTTATATACTAAACTAGATCAGTAAATAACTTTTTTCATCCTAGATATACTAATTGGTCCGCCAGTTTATAACTGGCGGAAAAAATCCTAAATACCAATTAGTAGCCAGGTGATAATTATATTTACAAATAAATACAGATATAAAAAATTTTTTTTCAATGATTCCCCCTTTTCCTAAATATTTAAATATTCAACTTTTGAGATTTAATAAATTATTAAAAAAAATTTATTTTGAAAAATTATTCATGAAAAAAATACTTAAAACAAGCGAGATATGCTATATGGATGCATCAGATCATTCAAATTCTTTTACCAATTATGTATTCTCTCTATTCACTTAAGAATAAAATTTTATATTGTTAATTCTTCTATTCTTCTAACAAACATTAATACAATTTATTCTATCATATTTCCTAAACATACTAATATCATTATTTATTGCATACATAACATTTATATCATTTTTAAACTTTTATAATAACTCTAGAATTGTTCATAGAAATTACCATGATACATACAATTTGATAATATTTGGTTCAATTATTATGATTTGAAATGTATTCAAGACAATTGTAGAAATCCAAGAACATTCATTTGCAAAAAATGTAAATAAATATCATTGATATTTGATATTGTAATAAGGTTGGTAGTTTATACCTAATATATTGAGTGGAATGTGCATTTCATAATGTTGCAATTTTTACATACACTTGAAGCTATCAACAATTACATCAAGTTAATTTCTGTGTTGGAGAAATTTTTAAGGAATCAACCAAATTAAAAAGAAATAATTTTACAACCTATACATGTACATTTGCTTTATTCCCGCACAAGTCATCATTCCCAAAATATGGAAACAAATGCTTAAACTACTAGATCACTATTAAAAATTATTGATATACAACTTTTCTCATAATTACAATCTATAATAATGTTATCTTATAAAGATTGAAATTGGCTTGTGACTGGTATAAACACAGTCTGGTCAATTAGTATAGTATATAACTTATTAAATTTATTACCAATGGAAGATGTAGTACATTTACTTTGGGGAACAAGTTAAATTTAAAGAAAAAAAAATGAATCATATTTGAAAGTATCTTTTGTAACCCAAATAATGTTTCATAGTATTTTACCTATACAAGAGATACACAGTATTATTACTCAATTCCTTTAAAATTAATAGAACTTTTATTATAGAATAAATTTCTTATGGAAATAATAGCTGTTACAATGATATTGTACAATGTGAAAAGATAGTTTTTACGCATAGTTAAGATATTTCAATCACGATTTAAAAAATACTTGCATGAGACTCCATTTGAAGAAATCTTATCTGATAAAATGGAATTAGTGTATCAGACAAAGTATTTAAATAATAAACCTTCCTATTGCCAACTCAAAGAAAAATCAATTTGCACCCTTAATCTTACTTAATTACATTAATTTTAATAAACTTTGTGGTTATTAAGTTTCTGAACAACCCAGAATAGTTATTCATGAAAAAAAAAAATGATTTTAAATTAAGAAGAAATACAGTAAAAATGAAATATAAATATTATAGTATTCCAAATGTTATTAAAGAAGGACCAAGGCTTTTGAACTTCATCAAAGAAATTAAACATGGGAGGTCATATTTCTGGGCTGACTTATGTGTTCTAAGTCTCTTATAACTTCAAATCTGTAGGACAACAGGAGGATATCAATGCCAAGAATGACTCCAATGATTATAGTAAATATGTCAAGACGAACGAGACATTGAGGTGTATTCATCATTTTCAAAGGCCCTCAATTTTATTAATGAACCTGATGGATAGAATTCAATGATTATCTAAGCAAAAATGTATATATATATGAAATAAATAGAAAAATCTATTTTCTCAAATATTTAAAACCCAATCCAACAAAAAATTTTATTGTGTCTTTACCATTTTACCTTTCCAAGGTGAAGGTTTAATAATTGTATATAGAAAATTAGTATTTTATATGGTATGATAAAAATAATAAATTTATTATTAAGCTATAAAAAAAAATTATAGGAGATAATATGTTAGTATATCATTATTAAATAGAATGTATACATGAACTTTTAAAATTATAATATAATAATTCTTTAATTAGTAATGTAATAGATCAACATCTAATATCCTGGGCTTAAAATTTTCTCTAATGAATGGTCAATTAATGAATATTAAAAGAAAGTTTTCCTTTTATTATGATATATTGTGGACTTTATATGAAAATAAAATAATGAGGATTATTGGATTAATGACAGATTATGAGTGATTTTCCCAAATTAATGATCTAGCAGAGGCATATCAACATTCCAGAACAATTCTAAACTCATACAAAACTGTAAATGGCATGTCAAACACCCCCGATATTTTATGACTAGCTAGTGAACAGAATGAATGAGTCATTTTATGTTGTTGACTCAAGCAGTACTACTTATATAAATAGATAAGCAAAAGTTTACAAAACAAGAAAATATAACAGAATATTTAAATATTAAATATATTTAAACATTGGATTGGCATATTACTCAAAGAAGAAGGATTAATAACTTATATACATATTACTATTTAATACTTAGAAAGAGCTATTAGAAAAAACAAATTTTAGTACAGTTTGAGAGTGAACTAATGGAATATTGACATAAAATTTCTCTAACTATCTATGTGTTTAATTATTTCAGAAAAGGGGCATATTTACTGATATTATTGGCAGAATGAAGTCTGTTAGTAGACACAAATTTTGATGAAAGAAAAATAGTTTTGAGAATATTAAAAGGGACTGAAGTACATAATTTATTCAAAGGTCAATCTGATGATGATAAAATATGTAAATTGACCAACTATTTATGACTAAGTATATACAACTGGGTGGAAACTTACATGAGCCAATTGAGCCATGGATGCAACAGGTGATAAATTATTTCATATAATCACATATTATAGAACAATGGATGCAACAAGTGATAAATTATTTCATATTGTAGAATAATTACACTAAAGCAACTCTAAAGTTGTATATACAAAAAAAGCTGAATAAAAGATATGATCAAAGATATGGATATAAAGATTATGAAAATAATTGAAAGGTATATATAACTGTAATTTGTACAGAAAGATACAAGACTTACTATTAGTTATGTTAGTAAAATCTCTGAAGAGATATTACAATTAAATATTTTTCACACATTATACACAATAAGTTACAAGTAACATAGATTTTAAGGATTACTATTATATTTTAATATACAATTTAACTTTCTAATTTACATATAGATCTAATTTACATATACAAAAGATTTACAGATTGCTGGAAATAAATATTTTAATCATACTACCAATTACCTCTTTTATAAGCTTAAATAATTCACTACACCATTTATATATTTCTAAAATTAGAAATGATAATGATACAAGTAAATTAATAGTCAAAGTATATATATCTATTTATACAACAATTGATGATATTACAAAACTATTTAAAACAGTATTAATCCAAAATACAACTTATGATAATAATTCTCCATGAACTTACAAATGCCAATTAATAATCTACTACCAAACCGTATGGAAATCAAAAAATCTGTTTTATAAAAAAGTTGTTACTTTTTTCAAAAAGTCACATGCTATAGGTGAATTTTTAAGAGAAAAGTATTAAAGGAGATAGTTTAAAGCAATATGTTAATACACGTTGGACTACCTCTTTGATTGTGTTAATTCTATTTTTAGTGTCAAGCAGAAATTTGAAATGTAACATATCCTCAAAAACTTATACCTTTATATATTAGAATTCTTTAGTGTATAGAATCATTAGTCCCGAACAAATACCATTCATATTGATGGTATTTTTATAGTTTAGAATGGTTCTACTAAAATATTTATATCCTTACACCACTTGAAGCTTAATGGAGATTCCTTACACATCTATATGGATATTCTCAACTGCTTTGAAAAAGATATATCTGAAATTTTTATAAACTTAAGAAAAATCAACAATAATTATAACATACTAATGCTTATAGAAAAGACATTGTTAATAGTAACATTAAACTGGATAATTCTTTATGACTTATTGTATTATTGATATTATTTATTAATAGTTCATTTACTAGTATTTTATATATTTTTCAAATGAGATAATAATATAACCTTCAGAATTAAGAACACTATATTTTTTTCTATTTATGATTTGTAATTTAATTTTTAAATATATATAATTCACATTGTTCGAAATTATGGGATGAAATTTAATCATTTATTAACTTCAGATTGGTGTTTAATTTGATCAGAATTGATAAAAAGATATCAGGATTAAGCACATGATATCAACTCAATATAGTATATAAAGAATGTATAATGATTATGAAAATAGAGAACTTATGGAATTCTTAGATCCTTCATATTTCATATTTCAGCATTTAGTTTGGAATATTTGATATTAAACATTAATAATAGTTAAAGATGAAGAGCATATATTAAAAAATTTAATGAGTCTGAATAATCCAAAGTAAAATGAAGATAGTTGAAAGTTGAAACATTTCAGAAAATAAATAACAAAGACAACCAAAGAAAAATTAACATTCCAATAAGAAGTATTATATATTTAAATCATACAAGTTAAAAATGAAATATATCCTTATGACCAAAATCATGCATCTATTTGCAAATTATTATAAGTGAAATCAAATTATCAGCATAAGAAATAAAAGAAAATATAATAATTTATTGTGTATAAACTGGATCATGGACGGGACCTTTAAGACATTATCTAATGTACTATTTCATCAATTGTATACCATTCATGCATTGGCAATTAAAGCATAAAGCAGATTTCCTATAAGTTATGAGAAAATCTTTAGAAATACAAATTAGTTTGAAGGATTAATTGAATTAGATAATTGTTTGTAACTTACCTTCACATTAATAAGGGATGCTTCTTCCATTCATGCCAAAATCTTTGGAAATAAATTCAATCAAAAAAATTGGCTAGTGAATATAGTATTAACAAATATTTTAGCAACTTTTCTTCAGCTACATTTATTCAAGCTAAATTCTTTATACATCCAAATAAAACATGAGTTATTAGATAATAATTATGAGGAAGAATACTTAGAGGTAGATTTATAAAAGCAATTTTGAAAAATAATAATGAAAATTTAAATTCAAAAAAACCTGAATTATAATGACTTACCTGAAAATTTAAAAGAAGAATTGAGAAAACATCATACTCTTGTTGGGAAGTTTGGTTGGATAATAATTTGCCTAGCACCATTACTATTCCCACCAAAATTATGGTCTATATATGAACTTGTTAATTAGAATATAATATGATACAAAATAATGTTGAAGTATGGCACAAAAAGTGGAATAATTAAATTGGAAAGGCTTATATAAGAGTATATACAATTATAGAAGGTGATAATAAAATCCCAGTTGAACAATTTACTGTCCCGATTTAATAATGATTCAGAATTGTATATCCTTACACAAATATCGATTACACAGTTTCTTGGATATGAGTATGGATATTTAAGTATCAAGCAAAATTTTGCTTATCATGCATTGCAATGGATTCTTTGATCAAATTTTATAAGCAAATATTAATAATGGATATTAATTAGAAATTGAACAACACATAGAAGTTAAATATTAAGATATATCCCATATAATTACTTTAGATTTGAATAAAATAAACACCTCAAAAGTGCATTTATAATAAGAAAAAATTAAAAAATTCATAGAAGAAAATTTTTTTTTGTGTAATTCTTTCTTAGAATTTAAATCCTCAATGATGCAGCCCGATTACAATGATAAAGATATATACAAAATCTATAAGAATATTATGATAATTATCTAAAAAAAGGAATGGAGTTTGATAGCTTTAAAATAGAAGGAGCTTTGATTGTTATAACATCAGCTTGTAGTAAATACATCAATTTGAGCTCACAATACTTTTTCTTTGCTTATTGCTAAAAAAAAGTATTTTCTCTCTTGAATAATGCAAGTTTCTATTATTACTTCATTTATTTTAGGAACAGATGACGTAATGACAATCAGCAAACAATCCAAAAAAAGTAACTCTTGCCCAACTCCAAAACATTCAATAAATGTGAAACTTATCAAAGAAAATTAAAAGAAATTCTGGTAAACTTATCTAATTATCTCCTTTACCATGATATGTGACCTCATGGAGAGGTACCAACTAATGAGCGAAATCAACAGGATTGCTATAGAAGATTTTACTGACCAATGCAATGACATTAAGAATAATAAATCACTTAGGGAGAGGGAAAGGTTAAAGGATCAGGTTTATTATTAAGTGGAAAACAGCAATTATTTACATAATTTAGTATATATCGATATAGAAACATTCAGTAAAAAGTACTTGTTGTACAATTATTGCCTAATTCTCATAGTTTAATCAAATTTTATTTTTTTAGCAAAATTTAAACTTATTATTATTGTAAGTTTTATTTAAGACATTCATTAAACAAAATTTGTACAATTTTTCAATGTTTTAAATTTGTTGCCAACTTTCATTATTATTTTCATTAAACATTAGATATAATTCATATGTAGATTTATAGCAATAATTATTTATCACTTTCATTATTTTTAATCTATATATAGTTGTTATTAGGATCACTTACTTTGTCAATATTTCAACATTTAATGAGAATCTTATGCATTGGTCAATACTTATACATCAATAAATTGTTTGATTCCAAATTCTCAAAAAAAAAAAACTTAAACAATATATATATCTTTATTAACATTTTGGACTGATTGTACAAATTCCATCAAATGTATAATTCCATTAATGCATTTTTCCATTAGACTGGTGAGCAAAATATTCAAACTGATGAACACAGATTTTTAAATGCTTACTCACTTGTTTTTATTCATATTTAATAAAAACTTAATTAGGTTTGTTTTATTAAAAAAAATAAAAAATAACTTTAATTATTAGATTCACTATTATTCCGTACTAATTTATTCAGCCACATTGAGTGGCTATCTTGTTAAGTTTATATACAATTATATTTGATTTCATATTCGGGAAATTCCTGTACAAAATATTATCTCTTAATTATATTATTAAAAAACTATTATTAAAACCTTTACCTTTGTAATATAACTTTATTCACATAACGAGTTGAATATTAATATTTTAATTTATACTATTTGTAATCCATTATTACATAAAAAAAAAGTAATTATAATTCTACAGATTATCTTCTCTTAGATATGACTTTAGTAGTAATATTAAAAAGAATGACTTCTTATAATTTTTCATGTTCATTATTCATAACGTTGTTTATTTTAAAATAAATTCAATTGAAAATGTAAACCAAAGAAAGTTGTCTTTTCATCGATCATCTTTATATTGATTTTTTAAGTAAGATTTAAAAATGACTACAAATTGATCATTGATTTTTGTTCATAAAATTATTTTGAATATTAATCAATATAATCAAGGAATACTAACTGTTCATTAAGGTATGACAATCAAATTTGTTAAACACAAATTATATTTACTGAAATAAAAAAAATAAAATATAAAATAAAATTATCATACTATTAAAGTATAAAAAAAAGATAATGTTAGTAATATTTTTCTCTTTATGGTTATGAGGCGTAAAATACTATGCCTCAAAATCACAAAATTTATGTGGGCACAACATGAAGTTTGATCAACAAATTGCATTTTACTAATTTATCACGGATTTCAAATGATCGAACTTAAGGTAATCAATAAGGAAGAAAGAATTATTTTATGTTCACTCTTCGATATGAATTAATTAATGCAACAATTAATAGGGCATTTGCATCATTAGATACTAATACTTGCAATGATATACACAAACATTTTGAACTTTACAAACAATCAGTTCTTGCTGATAAAATTCTTACAAATGATGAAAAAACTTATGTAGTAAGAAAATTAACTATGTCTTAGAGATAAAGTTATTTATAATTTAAGAATAAAAAGAATTTGCGAAGACTGTAACCAATAAGAGTGTTTAGCTACATTATATTGTGAATATTGTATTCGAAATTATTTAAAAGAAAATTTTTTAAATTGGATGATTATATTGACAGAAATATCAATTGGAATCACTTATTCCAAATATGGTAGTTGAATGGATCCCCATTTAAAGGTAGATTTTCTGAAATTTATGTCAGATTAAAAACAATTAAGAGTTGAAAACCTCTGGAATACAAAATTCAATGATAAAAATAGTCTTAATACACGAGCGTTGTTTATTTACAGTATTATGCTGCGCCACAACTACAACTTCGTTCAACTTTCAATTTATTTAATCCTTTAGTATTCTTTGTTGTATCTCTCCTTAGAATTCTATAGTGTGAACATGCCGCCACATCAAAACTGTATGAAATTATTTAATCTATGTTGGAATAAATTTTAATAATATTAATTTATCTTAGCAAATTATGATATTTTAAAATTTTATTTTACTAGAAATAAATTTATTTTTTGTTTTATTCACAATATAATGAGCATAAAATTCATTGTGTTACTACTATATTTTAAAAACATTTACGTCATTAGCCAAGAACTCAAAAAAAGTTTATAAATACATACCATATTTTTTTGGAAACACTAAAAGAAAAAACAAATCAATTATCAATCAAAGTTCATGTTATATATTAAAGATGTTAAAATAAAAATTTTAATTTTTTGATCTCATTACAATTTTTTTATCAACTGTTGAAATTTCATAATTTCTTTAAAGATTAAATAATTGAATTATACTTTCCATTTATTTAATGATTAAATAACTTCTTAGTCGAATCATAATAATTAAATCGTAAAAGAATATTATTATCAATAACAGAATGCATTAAAAGATAATAATTGCTAGATTAAAAAATCTTAAAAATATAACAAGACATCCATTTCTTTTTTCATGAACGGTTAATGATAATAGAGGATCAGTTTTTTTTTTGCAAAAAAAGTATATTCATAGTTTATATATAGTTTTTTTTTAGTTTAACATTGTTATTTATACATATTAAAAAAAAAAAAATCAAATCAGTTAAGTATAATGAAATTTTAAATCAATTTCCAGGAATTTCCAGCAATTAAAATAGATTTATGCATGTTTTATTTTTATGATATCGATACTAAATGTAAATTTTGAATCAAAAATTTAATTTTGGTTATTACATTCGTTAGATCTTACCAATTATTTACTTAAAATTATCATCAATACGCTTATGAAATAAAATATGTTTAACTTTATTTACATAAATAAAATTAATATGAAGGTAATTTACAAAATAATAGCTTAATTTTTATTTGTAAATTATTAATTGATTAATTATCTTTACTATTAATATACTTTTCTCTAAAATTTTCTTTTAATTCATTATCATTCGATAATAATATAGGAAAATTTATTATTACATATGCCAATTTGTTCGTTGGACCAAACATCTTTTTAATACATTTATAGACAAATTCATATATGAGTCAGAAAATAATACTTTTAATATATAAATTTAAAACTTCAAATTATACAGATTTTTCAATTAGAATTTGATTAGACTTTCCATAATCACATTAATAAACTAGGAAACGGGAACCGTTGTAAGTCCGGAGCGAGGTATAATAATAAAGATGTAGCGATATTCTATTAATTAGCAGCATAACGCCTTGGAATCATAACGCCTTGGAATTCCGGTAATTTTCTGCTGATTAGCAGCATAACACCTTGGAATTCCTGGACAGAGAAACTCACGTGATTGAAAATTTACACGTTATTTCCATAGATCATCATAGTGCGTAAACATATATAGTCCTTTGCTTCGCTCCGGACAATTAAAATACAACTTCCATTCTTAAACTCTGGTTTTTATTCATTAAAATTATTTATAAAACTATATGAACTAAAATTTAAATCAGAGAATTTTTTAACTATAATATTATATAATTTAAATTCATTTACTTCGTCTTTTAAAGAAAATAATTCATAATCATCATTATCAGAATTAATAGCCAAATATTTAACCCTTTCCTTCTTCATAATATATTTTTTTATATAAAATAAAATATTAATATTATTAATATTTTCATCTTCATTCACCACTATATTTCTAATTAATAATTTCTTAATAAAAGTATTTTGTGAATTTTTTAAAAATATTTCCAGATCACTTGTATTATTAAATGAAAGATATAAATTTAAATATTCTAATTTAGGAGGAAGAACTTGTCCTAAATTTTGTAATATAGAACTTAAATCAGTATAATTAGAGTGAATAAAATCCAATCCAATAGTAAGATAATTAATATTATGATGATTGTTTTTAATGAATAAGTAAATATTATTATCATAAGGTTTACCAGAATCAAAATATCTAATCTTTGTACAATATTCCATAATTGATTTAAATAATTGTCGTTTTGGTTCATTATATTCGTTACTCATATATTCAAATCCAAAATTTTCTAAATAATCACCAAATTTCTCTAATAGTAATTGTAATGATTCAACATGTAATATTTCAATCATAAATAAAGATCTCAATTTAAATGGTTTATTAACCTTAATAATTTGTTGAACAAAATCAGAATTTAAAGAAAGACAATATAAAATATGAATAGATTCTAAGACATTCAATTGATCAAAAACCTCTTGTAAAATACTAATTATATCCTTAAAATCAATGTAATAAAATATAATTATATTCAAAGTATTTGAACAATTAGAATTTTTTAATGATAAAAATGGATTATATAAAGTAGTACCTAAATCAAATGAAATTTTTTTGAGATTATGTTGTGAATTAATTATTTATGTTAAACATTTTTCAATTAATGGACGATCACGAATGATATCATATAAAGGAAAATTTAAACCCATCGATAAGATTGAATTACAATTAGAATATAAAAATTTTAATAATTTAATAATATTTTGAGGATTATAACCATGAATACGGAATGTTAAATTTCTAATATTATATGTAAGGTTTGGATTTTGTAAAATCAAGTCTATATTATTATCAAAATAGTAACTATAACTCGTAGACAGGTCAACTTCCAAAGAATATAAATTTCCTTCATTTTCAATAAACATTTCGAGTAATGACCTATAAATTAAGTTTAATAGGTTCCATTGGTTTTTACCCACTACAGTATCAACCCACGTTCGAATAGAACTAAAAATTTCATCTATATTTAAGTATTTAATAAAGCTAGGATAATTGAATAATAATGTATTTGAAGATATTAAATTATTATTAACTCCATATTCATATAATTTTGTTTTAACATCTTCATTTAATTTACTTAAGTAAATTTCAATAAAGTGTTGATTTTCGAGATATTCCCTTGAAAATGGATCTTTCTTTGGAAATGGATCTTCCCATAATAATGGAATGGCTAAACGACACCATAATCTATTTATTAAAATGCATGAATACAATGTTGAAATATCTTTTCTAAAATACTGTATAATTACTTCTGTTAATTCAGGTAAATCTCCTGAAAATATTTTTGAGCATGTCATGTTATTAAAAGAAAAGGGAGGGGAGGTTGCAATTTATCAATTTTCAGATTTTGTACAATTTATTTAATATTCCATAAAAGGACAACAAAAGAACCAAAAATTACATGTAAATCATTCCTTTTCTGTTAATTCCGTGCGATTAACAAAGGATCTACTAGCCTTACAAGTCTACAGGTTAGGTCCTTTGGTACAATTCCGGGTTGCCGATCTCTTTTAGCGTATGAAACCAACTTTGCTCGCAAATATGTGCACAGTTGGACTGCTAGTTTTTCGGCAGGTAGTAAGTGAGTAATGGGAATTGGCTAAGTAACGTAAAATTACTATTTTATATAAGGCAAGGAACATAAAGTCAATTTACGTTACTCCCCTTATATAACGTACAGAAAATTATATAAGGGGATTGCCGGATTGCTAAACGTCGCCTGGGTTTTTTTTTAAGTATGTCACAATTGTCACATGATGCACAATATATAGAGTAAATTTATTAATCGATTGTTTTAACTTAACTAATTTTTGATCGGTTAAACTTAAAATTTTATTGCAAAGATATTTAATTCAAATAATCTTATTTAATGAAATTTTATTTGCAAATATTAAAATTTAAGTCACACATTTTCGATTTTAAAGAAAAAAATCACCATATTTATTTTTAATGAAGTGATAAAAATAAAAAAAACAATAACAATAAATAAAAAAGATAAGTAAATTATAATGATCAAGGAGAAAGATGCTAATAAAAAAAATGAAATAACAATGGAGTAATGGAAAGTAATAGAAGATGAAAGGGAGTAAAAGAGAGCAATGAGAAGTGATAGGAAACAAAAAGGAGAAATAGAACATGATGGGAGATAAAAAGGAGTGATGGGAGACGAAAGGAAGTGATGAGAGACAAAAGAAATGATGAGAGACAAAAAGAAATCATGGGAGATGAAAAAGGAGTGATGGGAAGTAAACAGGAGAGAAAAAGAAATAATGGAAAATGAAAAGATGTAATAGAAATAATGGAGATGAATAATGAGAAGTAATATGAGGTGAAAAATGATGAGAGACAAAAATAAAAATATGTTCATGATAGGAGGTTGGGTAATGATAGGAAACTAAGTAAAAAATAAACCATAAGGTAAAAAAAAATGAAGTTAGTAAGAAACGAAATATAAGATAAAAACAAAATAAAAAAAAATAAAAAAAAATAAAAAAAACATACCTTTATTAATTTTAGAGCTGAAAGAACTAAAATATCTAAAAAAAAATGAGTAAGAAACGAAACGTAAAGTGAAAACAACTAAAACAACTGAACCTTAATTGCAGAACCGGAAGGAACCGAGGAAGTGAACCTATACTGAAAACGAGATTCGATAAACAAATAAACATGGCGCGATCATGTGGCAAATATAAGGAGTAACGTAAAGTATTTACCAAAAAAATTCACGTTCCGTACCTTATATAAGAGAAGTAACGTAATAGATCATGTGACTTTACGTTACTTACTTTGCCAATTTCCGTTACTTACTTTCTATATTCCTAGTTTTTATCTTTAAAGCTTGAGCAGATAAAATCAAATGTGTCAATATAAGAAAGGAAAAAAAAAAATCGTAAGATTAACTTTTGATTTATTACAATAAATATTTTTTGAGACTTTTATTTAATAATGACTTCAATCAATGATTTCAGTAATAAAGAAAGAGAATTTCTAATTCTTTATTTAAATACATTCCGTAGTTAAGTAATTTTTACATTAAATAATTTCTTAAATAACTAAACTCTTAAACTTTTGACTTTTTGTTGTATTATTCATACTAGATTATAATAGTTATTAATTCCATCATAATTATTATAATTTGTAAAATCCAGATTGTCGAATGATGATCTCAGTTTCGAGACAAATTTATTTTCTGTACACTTAGCAGTTAATATAATATTTTTTATTTGTACAAGGTCTATATTGTACAATTGCATTTTATTATGAATATTAAATTAATAACGGCATTTACTAAAAAAAAATGTTATTTATTTGTAACATTTTCATTATTGGTGTAATAGTTAATGTGGTGTTACAACTGTGACATGAAAAATAGTTTGACAAGTTACACCATTAATTTTGTATAACTAACGACCAAGTTAAAAAAGTTATCTTTTTTAACAAATTATTAAACACACTTTATAATAATTATGTCTACTATTCGAATGAACCTAATAAATGCAGCACTTAATAGAGCATTTACATTAATTGATTATAATATTCACAAAGGTTTTCATAAACATTATGAATTTATGCAACAAACAATTCTTGCTGATAATTCTCTTACAGAAGAGGAAAAAACTGAAGCAATAAGATTAAATAATGAAGATTATGACCGAGATAAAATTCATTTTAATTCAGGAACAAGAAGAATTTGTGAAAATTGTAACCAAAAATGTTTAAACTACATTATATTGTGAATATTGTGTTAAAAATTATTTAAAAGTTAATTTTTCAAATTGGACACCTGGAAATAATGATATTGATAATTTAATAAAAAATTGTCAAATGAAAACATTTGTACCTAGTAATATAACTGAATTGATCCCATATAATAATTTACAAAATATTGAATATTTAACAAGAGGTGGTTTCTCTGAGATTTATACGGCAAGTTGGATTAATGGAAATTATTATGAATGGGATTCTAAAGAACGAAAATTAATAAAATCTAGAACTATTGAAGTAATACTTAAACAATTAGAAAATGTTGAAAGTGCAAGTCAAAGTTGGTTTGAGAAGGTTTGTAATCTAAAAAAATTTAAGATATTTTCTTTATTTATAAGAAACTAAAATTTGAAATCATTTTTTATAGGCTAAATCACATTTGACTATAAGCAACAAATATCCAGAAATTGTTCAATGCTTTGGTTTAACACAAAATCCATCAAATAGAAATTATATGCTTATAATAAACAAACTGGATGTAAATTTAAGAGAATATTTACAACAAAATCATAATCAACTTACATGGGAAGAAAGAATTAAAATTACTTTTTTAATAATTAATGCACTTCATTGGATTCATAAAGAGAATTCAATTATTTTTTTAATTTTAATCACCATAAAATTAACAGTTAATAATATTTTTGAATCTTATATTTTATTTGTTCAATTACAAACTAATTTTTTATTTATGTAAAAAAAAAATTACATATACTCTATAATTAGTGTTGAACAAAATACAATAATATCAATAAAAAAAAATAATATCCTAGTTATAAAATTGTGTTAAATGTTAATATTAGGCTTAAAATTTGTTGCATCTTATCTAACATAAGGAGTTTAGATATAATTAGAACATGAGTTTTCACAATTGTGTTACACCATTATATCTTATATTCATCACTTTTTTCTTAGATGAACTTTAATAAAATGTATTTTATATTTGGTGCAAATGCATGTTCTAATTGACTTATTTTTCGTTTTTTGTTTGATAACCTACCTATAAAATGATTTATAATTTAATAAATTTTCAATAAAATAAACAATAATTTAAGTAAATGTTACACATACTCTGTAAAATCAATAATCTCAGCCGAAATATTGTAAGTATCATCATGTTTTGAAAGTTCTTTTGTAAATTGATTGAGTAATCGAGAAGTATAATAAGCTTGTGGATGAATTGATTGACTAATTCCAGTAGATAAAAAATTTGTTTTTCTATATTCTTCTGCTTCTTCAATTTGCTTTTTGATTTCATCATCATCATCACGGAGAGAATCTTTGACCAATTTTTTTATTTCAATAACACTTGGTCTCTTATATGGATCTGGATCCCAACAATTTTTCATTAAATCAATATAAAATTTTGGTGCTTCTTGTTCATTTATTTCAGGTCTATTTCCATTACATATATTTAATGCTAAAATACTATCATGGGCACAATTGGAAAAAGGTTGTCTTCCAGTTGCAATATGATACATAACCATACCAAAACTATATACATCTGCTGCTTGATTATATGGCTCTCCTCTTAATACTTCAGGAGCTACAAATGGCATAACTCCATAAATTTTTGTTTTGCCTATATTACTAACTTCACCACATAATCTCATATCTGAAATATATATATCACTTTCAGCATCTCCAGTAGCATTATCTCTAAATGATACCAATATATTTCCTGTATGGAAATCACGATGAACTAATCTTTTTTCATGAATTTTATTAAGACCTTGAACAATTCCACTTAGTACAGACAATTTACTAATCCAATTATAATTCCTAATGATATTATTATTGTAATTATTAAGATTTCCACCATTGGCATATTCAAGTACAATAATATAGTTATTTGTATCTGGATTTTGGGATATCCCATATATTCTGAGAATGTTATTATTAATACCAATAGAGTATGCATTAACCTATCAAAAAGTAAAAACAATCATTATTGAGAAATTGTTTAATGAAGTCTAAAAAAATAAATTTCATTTACCTCATTTAAAAATTCATTAGTAATATTTTGTGAATTATGTAAACATTTTAAAGCAACTTCTTTATAAGGTATTCTTTCATATTGATATAATAATGGGCCATCTTTCCATTTTGCTAAATAGACTGTAGCAAATTCACCTTTACCTATTTCTTTAATATTATCAAACTGGTCATATGGTATCCATTCAACAATTGTATCCTCCAAATTATCAATTTTTAATTGTGTTATTTGAATAAAATTGTCAATTTCTTCATTTCCACTAGTCCAATTTACAAAATTTTGTTTTAAACCATTTATTAGACATGGTTTACACCATTTATGATGTATATCTGTATATAATTCACCACAGTTTTTACATGTAATATCATCTAGTACTATCATGTTTTTTTTTTTTTTTTAAAAAAAAAAAAAACAATAATCGGAAGAGAAGGTGTCAAAACAATTACATAAATATGCGATGATAACCATTTTTCCTAGTGTAACATAACACTGTTACTCAATAAATTTGTCATACAGTACAGTGCAGATCAAAATATAATCAAATGGATTTGATGATCGGAATGTTGATCATTTTGGGCTAAAATTAACGTTAATTTCAGCCAAAAATGAACAACATTCCGATCATCAAGTGAGCCAAATTAGGGATTGAAATCAAAAATCGAATCTTTTCAAGATTTTTCTTATAGACGACCAACCCAATTTTGAATCAGTTTCTAATTTCAACGAAAATAATCAGCACTTGGCCGGCATGAAAAATTACTTTGGAGTCAGGTTAGCTTATATGTAAAAAATTGCTGAGAATCAATTCTCGAGAATCGATTTTACTATGTTTTGTCGATTTTCGATTAATCGATTCCAATCCCTAAGCCAAATCCACCTATATTGAATGATACAAATGATGAAGCTTTCTTGGAACTATGAATATTAGATTTTAGATTATATTTACAATTATATTAACAGAAAAAACAAGGATCATTATATAATAAGGTACTTACCTAAATGAAGAGGTTCGTATTAAAAAACTCTTATACATTTTTATTTCGTTATAACTTAAATATTTATACTTCTCCCATATATCATCCAAAACAGGATGTGAATATATCAAGAAGAAATCAAAAAGGATATTACTAAAGCTTACAAATTAATTTAAAATTTTATTGTAAGTAGTGCTCCTACCGGGTCAAGTCGGGTCAGGTTTTGAGGAAATATTCGACCCGATCTGAATAAAAAAATATAAGACTCGTATTTATTCGGGTCTCATATTTTCGTAACCCGACCCTTGACTCGACCGAGTATAATTTAACTCGTGTAACCTGGGTTAAACCGAACATTTAAGTAAAATGGGTACTAACTTATATGTGAGATTTTCTTATAATAATAACAAAATTAATTTTTTTTATTTGAAAAAAAGGCAACTTAGTGATTAACCACTAGTAGCCACCTGAAATTTGTATCATGAATGGTTATACAAAACATGTAACACTAGCTCTTATTTTCTCCTAGACTAATTAAATAAAATAAAATTAAAAATACGAATTTTGAACCTGGTTTAATATAATAAAAGTCAAAGAATTAGGCAAAATAATTAGCAGATATTCAAATCAAAGATAAATTGGAATTCTAAAGCTATCAGAAAAATATTATTCTCAAAAGCCAAAGGTTAATTTTTTTATTTTTCTGATTAAGCTATGTTAATATTTGTTAAAACTAATTCTTGGCTTAATTTTGGCCAAAATTATAATTTTCCCAGAATTAAAAACATCCGGGTCGATTCGGGTCAAACCCGGGTCAAACCCGGGTCAAGGAAATTTATAACCCGACCCGGTGGGTCGGGTCATGCAGGTCATGCGGGTCACAGGTCATTAAAAATCGTTAGTACCGACCCGATTTAAAAGTCGAGTCAAGTCAAATTAACCTGGGTTGACTCGTATCATTCGGAGCACTAATTGTAAGTTTAATAGATATCTTTAAAAAGAGCAAAAAATTAGGCGAATTTGTATGATTACTACAATTGGGAAACTTTAGTAATGACCACATTAATAGCAAAAAAATTAGTGAAACTTTCAAATAATCAATTTGAAAAGCGAACATATAATAATTTGTGAATATGATGATACTTATTGCTCATTGCTTAATTTTCTCTTTATGCAATAGTTGACGTTGTACAGTGGGTGAAGTAGGTATCATAGGTTTACTAGTAAAACATTGTTTAACATGTTGCACAAATAAAAAAAGAAATAGAAAAATAAATATAAAATAAAGATTTGGCAGAATTTTAAGTATACAATGCATTAAATAAAAGGGAATAAACGGATATCATTATTTGGTATTGAATTTATTTAGTACTTCACAGATCACTTGGTAAGTCTCTTTTTCACAACATCCGAGAATAGAAAATATTAAACAGGAATGACCATGATGATTGATGAGCATTATTGATAAAACAAACTTTAAACTTTCGTACGTAACTTGAATAAAATTCTCAAATTGATTTTTTTAATAAATTTGCTGTGCCACTTTCGATAAAAAAATGACAATCATAAAAATATAAACTAATAAGTTAATTTACGATTAATTTTTGATTCTATTTTTATTTTTAATAGCTTGTCCCGAGCCCAAATTTTTATTTACTATGTATCACATGACATTTTAATTATTGCTTATAAATAACATTATAACTCGGTGAAATTTATAAAAAATATTTAAATTAATTATAATATCATAATAAAATAAATGGTTGTTTTTAAAATTATCTTAAATTTCTCGAGTTTTTATAAAATATTTTAATTGGGTTAAAAAACTTGTCAAAACGAAATTAAAATTTATAGCCGGTTAATTAATAGGCTGAATTAAATAATTGATTACTGTAAATTAATTAATTTATCAATTTTAAGGTACCTTAATCGGTAATCAATAAGCTTAAGCTTAAATTTATAGAATTTGTATTTTGTAAAATTATTTTTATATTTTCCAAAAAAAATTTTTTATTTAATTGTTGAAATCCAGTAATAAATAGATATCTTACTCTTTATGATGTAAGTCATGAGCTTCGTACTGGGGACCAATGAGTTTGTTTAAATAGAAATTTAGTATTATAATAATGTAATACTAAGTATGGTTACAATGGTTACAACAGTTTTTTGTGAATAATATGTATTAAATTATATTTACTTAATGATTTGACGTTTGAATGTATAATGAAATTCGGATTAATTAAGGATTGTGAAAAAATAATCATCAATATTTGACGTTTGAATGTATAATGAAATTCGGATTAATTAAGGATTGTGAAAAAAATAATCATCAATAAAAATTGATTGATTTTTTTAGAAGTATTTTCAAAAAAATTTTAATATTATGAAAATACTACAAATATTTTTATTAATTAATTACAAATTTTATGATTATTTCTTATTATTTTATATTACGTAAATCTAAAACTTATAACCAACTTAGGAAAATTATTTGAACAATTAAATATATTAGAATTTGTTCATTTCGAATATGGATTTGGTTATAATAATCTATTATTAAATCAACAATTTCTTCCATTAATTAATTATAAAATATTGTAAAAATATCAATTTTTTTTTGATTTTTATGAATTTGAAAATCAAACTATTTATCCAGCGTTCAATTTAATTGAAAAAACCTCAATCATCTTTTTATCAACGTCAGTCAATTTTCCTACATGTTACTTGATTTTTTTTTAAAAAAAATAATAATTTTATAAATATATTTAATATAATACTTTATTTCTTTAAAAGAAAATTAAAAAAAAAATTTGGGGAAAAGAAAAAGGATAAAGAAAGAAACCGGTTTTAAAAAAGGGAAATTTCTGAAAAAAAAGGAATCTGAAAAA